GCTATTGTGAAGCAGTATAACTAAGAGCACAGACTCTGAGGCAGTATTGCCTGAGTTAATACATTTGCTTTACCGCTTGGTAGCTGTGTGATCTTTGGCAAGTTCCTTGACAACTCTACTCAGTGTATTCATTTCCTGTTGCTGCTGAAACATTTACCACAAGTGTAGTGGTTTAAAAACAACATAAATTTATTCTCTTAACAGTTTTGGAGGCCAGAAGTCTAAAATGAGTTTTGCTGGGCTGAAATCCAGGTGTTGGCAGAAGAGGGTGTGGACGTATTTTGGATTAGGTGACCCGTGTGTACTTCTAAGGAGGTGACAGTTGAGCTGAGACCTAAAGAATGGTTCTTGTGAAAAGTTGGGGGAGGAAGCAGAAAACAACTAGTGCCAAAGTTCTAATGCAGGAGCAAACATATTTTCTTCGGTCAGGGAAGGTTGGCCCTGCTGTAGGTGCATCACCAAGGGAGAGAATAGGATGAGACTTGCAATGGGAGTGGTACGCAGGCTTTTGATAAGGAATTTGCATAGGAAACCATCAAAAGATTTGAGCAGAAGAGTGGCATGATCTGTTAACAGCTCTGTGCCTGAGATGGGAGTAGTAGATTGCGGGGGCAAGAAAGGAAGCAGGGAGAGCAGGTGTACCAGGTGCATAAGGCTGCCGTAATTCTGTAGGTGAGACGTGGTGGCTCAGTCAGGTGGTGACTGAGGTAGAAGGAAGCGGATGGTTGATGCTGCTGTGAATATATTTGCACATGATTTTTTGTGCCCACTCGAGTAATTCTGTAGGATTGATTCCGAGAAGAGGGATTGCTGCTTCAGAGCATGAATAATAATAATAGCTGACATTCATTAAGTGCTGACTATGGGCCAGGTATTACTTTTTTTGTAGAAATCTATTATTTTATTTATTTTTGTACAGTAGTAATTTTTTACTTATTTTTTTTATTATGGTATCAATATACAGTCGCATGAGCAACATGGTAGTTACTTGATTCCCCCCATTATCAGGTACCCACCACATACCCCATTACAGTCACTGTCCATCAGCATAGATGCAATAGAGTCACTACTTGTCTTCTCTGTGCTGTACTGCCTCCCCCATATCCACCCCCTACATTATGAGTGCTAATCATAATGCCCCTTAATCCCCTTCTCCCTCCCTTCCCACTCACCCTCCCCAGTCCCTTTCCCTTTGGTAACTGTTAGTCCCTTCTTGGGTTCTGTGAGTCTGATGCTGTTTTGTTCCTTCAGTTTTTGCTTTGTTCTTATGCTCCACAGATGAGTGAAATCATTTTATATTTGTCTTTCTCCGCCTGGCTTATTTCACTGAGCATAATACCCTCTAGCTCCATCCATGTTGTTGCAAATGGTAGGATTTGTTTTCTTCTTATGGCTGAATAATATTCCGTTGTGTATATATACCATATCTTCTTTATCCATTCATCTACTGATGGACACTTAGGTTGCTTCCATTTCTTGGCTATTGTAAATAGTACTGCAATAAACATAGGGGTGCATATGTTTTTTTGAATCTGGGCTGCTACATTCTTAGGGTAAATTCCTAGAAGTGGAATTCCTGGGTCAAATGGTATTTCTATTTTTAGTTTTTTCAGGAACCGGAACCTCTGTACTGCTTTCCACAGTGGTTGAACTAATTTACATTCCCACCAGCAGTGTAGGAGGGTTCTCCTTTCTCCATATCCTCACCAGCATTTGTTGTTGTTTGTCTTTTGGATGTTGGCCATCCTAACTGGTGTGAGGTGATATCTCATTGTAGTTTTAATTTGCTATTCTCTAATGATCAGCAATGTGGGCCAGGTATTATTTTAAGTGCTTTTCATGTAATTGAGCCATAAATAAACTGTAGTTTCAGGACCCCTAGCAGGTTAAGGATTAAATACATAAACACAATATTCTGTGTTGATGGTAGTTAGGTAAGAAACCTAAGCAGTCAGAGTCTATGGAGCTCTATAGGATGTAGGAATTGTGCAGAGGCCACAGGGTTATTTGTGATTTATGTCAGAGGCATTTTTATGTGTGACACTTGTGCTAAGAGATCAGAGGAGGGAGTGCTCACTTGAGTCTGCCATGATAAGAAAGGGTTTTGTGAGGGAGTGGTATTCAGTTGCACTTTGCTGTGATTTAAAGTCTGCAGGTGGGAAACTGAAGGCATGTTTGGGAGTGAGTAGTCATCTGGTAGTAGTGGGAGATAAGTGTGGGAAAGTAGGAGGGAGCCAATACTGAGTGCTCTTAAATGCCAGCATTAGGTTATTTTATGTCACGTATTTTTAAAAATCAGAATCAAACCCATTCCTGACCCATTTATAATGAAGGCAATGGGGATTGAGTTCAGTAAATTCAACTAACACGTTGAGCATCTGTTTTATGCTGAGGGTTATGCTAGATGGTTTTGCACATGTTTCATTTACCATGTTGCCGAGGGGATTAAATGACAGGAAGTCAGACTTGGTATCCCCACTTTACACATGGAAAAACTGAAGTTTAGAGAGATTGTGCAGCTTGTCCAGGTGTAGAGAAGATGGAAGTTCCATGACCAGGCTTCTCAGCTGACCCTGGTCTGCTTGCCCTGTGAGCACATGCAGTGCTCACAGGTGCAGGCTTGCACACAAGTGGGCAATAAGTTATTACTGTCTGTATAAAAAAGAGCACCGTCCAGTATGGTGGGGTGGCAGGGACCAGCTTGCTGCACACAGACCTGCCCTGAGGCAGACAGGATTTTAAACGGTTGACTTGCCACCACGAGAATAAAGCTAGGTATTAAAAAAAACCCTTTTACCCACAGCGTTCTGTTGTCATCTTTCCGTCTCACCAAATCCAGAGCGAATTGCTCAGGGCTGAAACCCTCAGGCAAGACACCAGGTCACTGAGTTAGGAATTGGCAAAGCCAGAATTCAAGCCCAGTGTTCAGACCTAGAGGGTTTCAGTGGTTGGCAGTGCCTGTTGCTGAAGGAGTGTCAAGGAGAACAGCCTGAGAAGTTACTGGGTCTGGAGATTAGGAGGCCTTTGGGTATGTTTGAAGATAACAGATTCCCAGAAGAGAGCTGGGCCATTTTAGCCATATCTTTGAGGCACTGGAGCAGCCAAACGACCAAAACCCGTCACTGAGACTGAAAGGGGACTTGGAACTTGGAAATCCAGGTGCTACAATGTCAGAGCCAGCTGACGGGGGGTGCTTGTAGACTTAACAGTGACAGCAGACACCTAACAGGTGCAGCTAAGTGCAAGGATGTCAAAGGTTTGCTGTGTACACTTTATGCTTTGTGGAAACATTGCTTATTGTGTGTACTGATTCTCAAGAGATGGGAGCTCCTTTGGGAGGCCGCAGAGCTTCCCCTCCTTCCATCCACTGGTATAATGCTGTCAATCTGTGATAAGAGACCTGCTCGTTGCTAGCATCCTTATTTACCTTCCTTGTGTCTTGTAAGCTGTTTCCAATTCCCTCCTAGTCTGGTATAGTGGAATTGTCTCCTGAAAGTCTCTTGTCAGCTAGCCTGTGTTTGGTAGTGAAAGGACCCTGAGACCCAGACATATGCCTGTGAGGGAAATCATATCAGTTTGTCCCCCTCCCTCCATTCTACCCTTTGGCTGTACCAGTGACGGAAATCCAAAGTGTGCTAGCACCAGGGGTCAGCACAGGACCGTGTTTATCAGCTCTCATTCTTGTGTCCTAGTCCTCTAGATTCGAGGACTTCCAGTCTGACTACATGCAAGTGTCCATAATTTTGAACCATTTATGGAGAAGAGCTTCTGCATGTTCTTTCTAATACTGATTCTTACTGAGACTTGACTTAGTTCATAAATGAGCAGACTCCCTGGCCAGTAGAACTTGAACTTATGTGGGATTGTCCTTAGTTCTCACCACTCCTTCCCAGTATGAATAACTGTGTACTTGGTGCAAAGATCTTAAAGAGTTCCATTACAGAGTGCTGCCTGAGAGCCTGATGGGGTTGTTTTATAAAATGTGATGTAAGTGATTGCTTTTTTCAAATCTGAAAAATTCTGTCTGAAATGCTTCTGATTAAGGAATTTCAAATAAGATATTTGGACCTATACTGCCTGCCACTTACCTTTGAGCCCAGACTTTTTGGGATAGCCTGGCCTCTTTTTTTAGCCTCATTTTCTGTCACTTTACAGACTGGAATAGAATGATCCAAATGCACCCTCTTTCATGCTGCCACATTTGTGCTTGTGTTATAGCCTAAATAGGTAGCTCTTCTCACTTTGTCTTGTGTTACTGTACTAGTTCAAGCCATCCCCTCTCACCTTAACTGTGGCCTTCTTCTCTTTCCAGTCCTCCAACCCCTGCCATGCTTTCCACCGTGCTCAGAATAACACCCGGAATCCCTACAGTGTCTGTCAGAGCCTTCGTGATGGGGCCCTTGGCTCTGTCTGCACCGTGTCTCCTACCGCTCTGCCCTCTGCCCGATGCTCGTGGCCGCTCTGTCCTCCTACCTAACATGCCAAGCACTCCTCTGCTTCAGGGCTTCTGCACTCTTTGTTTTCTCAACCCGAAGTGCTCTTCTTCCAAATATCTGTACGTTCATCCCTCATTTCATTTTGATTTTTGCTCAGCACCTCCTCAGAAAGGCCTTCATTATCAGGGTGACTAAAATAGTGCCTTATATCATTTTTGACCAATGTCGTGCTTGATTTTCATCAATTTTTGACATATTGTATACTTGTCTGTCTCTTCCACTCAGTACAAGCTCTGGGAGGGTAGGGATTATGTCTGTCTTATTTACCGTGGTATTTCTACACTTCAGAGGCATAGCAGGTGCCCCAGTAAATACTTTTTGAGTGTCTCTTTCTCTGCAGGAAAGATTAGAGCCTGTCTCTTCCCTCAATATGAGGCTGTGATGCCTCAGCACATTTGGTGAAAACCAAAATTACTCCCTCGTTACTTTGTCTTGTTTTGTTCTTCAGTGATTTCACAGAGTTCCACTGCTCTCTGTCATCCAGTTAAAATGTCTGCCCTACAGGCTGCGGGCCTCTCGTGTGCTTCTGGTCGGCATGAAAGGACTCGGGGCTGAAATTGCCAAGAATCTCATCCTGGCGGGGGTGAAAGGATTGACCATGCTGGACCATGAGCAGGTGAGCTGGTTCAGCGACCTCATCACTGTCCATTGCAGACTGTCATGTTCAGAATAAACACTGGGATATTTTGTGAGTTCCTATGTGCCCCTGCAGGGCTGTAGAAGGAGGGCTGGTCTTTGTGCAGCTGTAGCCTTTGGAGGCTGACAGCACTAGCACATCCTGTCTCTTTGTTGAGCCTGCCTGTCTGTGCAGTGGAATTAACTGCTCCCTTGGAGGGTAAATGAGGAGTAGAGGAATAATTTTCCAATTTGTGCCTGTAATCACCTAAATAACTAATTAAAATTGCTTAATTGCCTCAGGACTTTGTTATTACAGTATCATTTTCACCCCCTATGATTCTGATGTAGAAGGTCTGGGATGAGGTTCAGGAATATATACATTTAAAAGTTATCTCAGGAGATCTTCAAGTAGGTGGTTCATAGACATTACTTTGGAAATCATTGGATCAGAGAGAATGTACATAGACTGCTTGGCATAGTGCCTGCCTGTATTCGTCCAGTCACTAAGAATAATTATGTGATATTTAATGGGTAATGTATTAATAGTGCCCAACACCTGTGTAGCTTTCTTTTCCTGTCTTGTCCAAGATGAAAATAACTGCTGTTTCTACATTCTCATCCTCAATAACATTTGTTTTCTTTCATAGAAAATTGCAAATATATGCAAAAGTAGAATAATACTTGACACCCCACTACCTGGCCTCTACAGATGCCAATATTTTATTGCTCTTTTTTATTTAACTTTTCCATTATATTTTTTTGGGTGGTAGTATTTTAAAGCAAATTCCAGAAATCATCATGTTCTTTCTTAGGTAAAGTACGTCAAAGATTGTGTTGTCACATGATATTGTGTCTTCTCTTTTAGTGAATAGGGTCCTGTCTCATCCTTAGTAACTGGTAGACAGTGTGAGGTGTAGGCTCTGGACCAAAGTAAATGTTAATGAAATTTTTAAAAGCTCACTTTGGGGTTGCAGGGGAGAAACAGTATCTGGGATTTTAATTTTTTTCATTTTCCTACAATATAAAGAGAAGTGTGGGTTGCCTAACAATATCATAGTCACAAATTGATTTTTACTTGAATTCAAAACCTTCTAAGGAAAAAAATCCCTGCTAGCCAGCTGCTGGATTGGCAGTCTGAACACTGGCAGTTTTGACATCTCCTCAGCCACAGTGCCCCCTTGGGGCAGGAACACCCTGCCCAGGAGACACTTAGTTGGCAGTGTAGCGAGTGTAAGAATGGAGAACCAAGGACGGAGGGTGCCCAAACTTTGGAAGCCCTTGGCGTGGGAAAGTAAAACCACATGGGGAAAGTGACTTCTTCATCTGGTTGGGGGGATCTGAGAATGGAGAACAGTGATAAAACACTGAGGGTATGTGCTGTGGTTCCGTCACCACCTTAGTACAGTGATGACTGCCACCAAGTGTCAGAGTGAACAGGAGGATTGTCATCCCTTCTTCACTATAAGGATTTACAGTGCCTTCTACCATAAGGCTTAGCTTCTCTAGTTTTCAAGGTCTAATATGGTGATTTGAAATCCTGTCTGCACTTCAGAATATTTGGGAAGTTATTTAAAAATATAACTTCTCCAGGTGAGTTTAAAAGTGAGGGATGATTGAGAACCCCTGGCTTGATAGAACCTGGACCCAGTCAACTTACCCAGCCTGACTCCCATCTCCCTAAATCTAATAGTTCATGAACAGTGTGGTTGTTCTTTCTTAAAATTTGCTTGTGCTCTTCTTAACATCCCAGGGAGACCATGCTGCAGAGTGCAAAAGAGTCATGCAGACTTGGGCTCAAATCTCACCTCCTTAAGTTGGGCCAGTCTTAACCTCTTAGAGACTCAGTTTGCTTATCTATAAAATAAGGATAGATGAATTAATTCCTGCACCTTAGAGTTTTTCATTTATTTTACATCAGTGAGCATCTGAAAGCACCTGCTGGGGACCCTGAAGTATTCTAGGTACTGTCGATACAAAGATGCACAAGATTTGGTTCCCATTGTCAAGGTTTTTTCGGAGACCAGAGCAGGCTACCTGACTAAGGTCATAGTAGAGAGATACGAAAGGCTTCCAGGAGTTCTCATCTGAGTCGAGTCTTAAAGAAGAAGTAGAGGTTTATCAAATTGAGGGGCCATGTTTTAGGGACAGGTCTTAGCAGTGGCACAAAATGGTGTGGTAGAAATAGAATAGAGCAAGCAGCTTGGTGTTCTTAGAGTGTGAAGCTCAAAGAAGTGGAGGGGGCGGGGAGCAGGTTGCAGGTAAGGTTCAAGTTACGAGGGCCAGCTCGTGAGCTGTGCTGTAACTTAATACTCTAGGTGGTGAGGATTCATTGAAGAGCTTCACATCAGGAAGGGGTGACCTGGTCAGCCTTGGGCTTACTGGAGATCACTTATTACTGGAATAACTGTGGCTGGCAGAAGACCCCAGAAGGCTGCTTAAGTTATTTAGTTGAGACGTGAGAAGGGTCTGAGTGATGGCACTGGTTTAGAGATGGTAAGAAGCACACCGAAGTGAGAAAGTGGTCGAGTTGGTAGAGGTGTGTATGGAAGCCTAAGGAAAGCAAGGAACACCTACAGCAGCTGACACTCGCTGAAGATTCTGAACACTGCTGAGCGCTGCAGTTGTAGTTGCTCATTAATCCTCACAACTCTTGAGAGGGGTTTTACAGATAAGAAAACTGAGGATGAGAAAGTGACATACTGGCTCACCCCAGGTCACAGTAGTACGTGGTAGGATTAAGACCCAGCAGTCTGACTCCTGGCACACTAGGTGGCTGCTATCAAGGATATGAAGACCAGGTTTCTAGCTTGGGTGACTGAATGGTGGGCTCATCAATTAGACAACAAATAAAGGAGTTGAATGTGAAGTGCCTGTGGGATACCCAGGAGGAACTGTCTGGTGGGCAGTTTAATATAAGTCTCAGACGGATCAGGAAGCAATCTGTACCAGGAAGAGCAATTGGGGAAATAGCAGCAGATTTGGGGAGAAACTAAAAGTGGCATTGAATTGGTTTATTTAGATGTAGAGGGAAAAGATGAGTGATTCTGAACTGGAATTTGGGGAGAGCCACACCCAAGAGGATCCATGTGGACTGGAATATTCAGTGAGGAGTGGAGGAGAGCCAGGAGCCGAGAGGCCGGAGACACAGAGTAATGCTGATGGAGCGGATTAGCAAGTGCACTGCTGTTACTAACGCCCTTGTTTTACATGTAATTCCTTCATACTTGCTCAAGTCACACAGTTAAGCCAAGATCTGAATCAAATCTTTGAAATCAACCGGAAGTATTCCAGAACCTTGTTGTTCAACCACTATGACCTACAGCCTCTTGGCTTGTAGCGAGATCCTTGAAGAAGCAGGATGGGATGGGTCCATGATACTATTGGAGGGCTGGTCTTGAATAGGAGGAGGACCAGCTCATTCATTTCCTTGGAGGCAAGATGGTAAGGGAGAGTGTGCTGTGGGTAGTTGCAGGAGGAGTGGGGAGGGATTACTTCTGATGGACCCAGTCTTGATATGTGGAGAAATGCTTTATGAACAGTATGGAATCTGTTATCTTGCTGGTGGATGTCAAGTGATTATATTATCTGTTTTTGAGGCTTCAGCTTATATCCAACATTGTGGGTGAAATCATCCCTGTGCTCCAGCACCACTCATCTCTCCTGCTTTCTGTTTTAATTGAATTTGAGTTCATTTCAAGCATTCCTAATTGTATCTGAATACTCGTCTGATTTTAAACCACTTGTAGGCAGAAACTACATCTTTTAAACTTCATTTCTGAGTGCTTAGAGTTGGGCACATGGTAGGTATTTGTTAAATTCTTACCACTGATAATTATGTCATTTTGTTAGCAGTTAAAATGCAAGTGGAAGAAGATACCATGGACTTTTCTGTTTAGAGTGAATTTTCTTTATAAACACAAGAGGGTGCTCTTTAACCAGCAATGCCCAGTAAAAAAAAAAAAGTTAAATGTGTATATTGCAGCTTCAGAAGGAATGAATTTAGGTAGTCTGCGTTAGGCAAATTCCTGCAGGAACAGTAATACAGTCACATGGCAGGTATCTCAGTTATCCTTTAAAATGGAAAGGTTCATTGTCTTTGAGATTTGTTTTCCTCCAAAATTCAAGTATTAAAAGAAAAATTATTCCTAGGTATCTCCAGAAGACCCTGGAGCTCAGTTCCTGATCCGTACTGGCTCTGTTGGCCGAAACAGGGCTGAAGCCTCTTTAGAACGAGCCCAGAATCTCAACCCCATGGTGGATGTGAAAGTGGACACTGAGAATATAGAAAAGAAGCCCGAGTTGTTTTTCACTCAATATGATGCTGTAAGTTCCGTAGAGTATAAGATCTGCTGTGAAAATTAAACAAATGAAAGCACTATAATCTAGGTACACTAGAGCATTAGGATCTCAAATTCTGAGCTTTTTCCCAAGTAAGTTTGTAGACTGTTCAGTTTTTTAGGGTTACTTTATTGCCTTAGTAGATTTTAGTCTTCCATTGCTGTAGTGTTCGTGCCTCGTTAGCTTGTTGCCCTAGTTTGTTGAATGTGTCGGTGGGCAGGGCCAGTCTGTCGTGTCTGCTGTCACTGTTTGTGACTTGCTGTCTGCTGGTCTCTTTGGGCATGTGTTTCCCTAGACCACGTTTCATCACTGGTGTTTTGTCTTCCTTCCAAACTCTTTGCACATTGCTTCAGTATACTTTATTACACGTTTTTTCCTGAAAACTTAAGTTGGTGACTGATTTCTGTAGCGCAGCATTTTTTTGTTAGTGCTATCATGCTATGGTTTGTGTTTTGTCTTAAAAAAAAGCACACCTGATCTTGGTCTCTGTCCTCCCTCACATAGCCACTTTGGCCATGTTGCCATGGATAACTGGACAAATTCACTGTAGTCACAAGCCAGAGGACGCATATCCAACCTCATTTGGTTTCACTGCCAAGTATATAATATGCAAAGGTGAAAGGATAAGTTAAATTCTGTTTCAATGTCTGTGACCTTTCAGACGTGGTTCCCTGTACCCAGGAAAAGCTTAAACTTGGTTCACCATGAAATAGTCACAGATGACCTACTTGTCTTTTAAATGAAAGGTCTGTTACACAAGAGGTTAGAATTTGGGTTGGGTAATTTGTTTTTCCACAGTTATATTACATATGTGCATCTTTTCAGATATAGGCTTGGCACAATGGATTACCTATTCATTTTGTCTTTCTTTAAAAAACTCACTCTATTTTGTATCTCCAGGTATTGGAATATTTTCTGTTTGGACATTAGTCTATCTTCTCTTCATTTTTTTTCATACTAAACATGTTTGGTTAATTCTAGTTGTTCTTTGAATTCTAGTACTTAGAGGGTTTGTTAGAACTTAAGCATGGGCCAGTTTGCAGAATGCATATGCACAGGGCAAGGATGCCTGCCTGCCTTGTAGGCCCTGTTTGACTGGTCCTCAAGGGTTGCACACATTTGGCTCTGCAGGGTTCCATTTGGTCAGTTGATTGCATGTTCAACTGTGGCCGTCTCACACGTTTTATTTAAATTTAGTTTTTCCTTGGGTGGCTGCATCCTCTGAATGACACAAGAGGCACACACTTCTCTGTGAGTGTTATTTCAGTAGTAGACTGCCAGACAACAGTGAAGACAATTCTATCAAATAAAAATAACCTTTTGTAACTTCTCCAGCTTCCTATGTTCAGAAGGGAACGTGCATTCAGAAGTTACCTTCTTGACCCTCATCACAAAGCTTCTCCTATAAAAATGGTGTTCTGTGCAGTAAAATGTAGCCGTTTCTACTAACTCAACCTACAATCACAACCTAGAGGCCTCAGAGCAACATTGATAATTCCACTGAGTGAATCACCAGTTCATTGTCTAAGTCTGAATGGAAGGTCACTTGGTCTATAACCTTTTCTTTTGTCCTTAAATGCAGATAAAGTTTCACATTGGAAACTGTGGAAAAATAATCTCAACAGGGCTTGCTTATCTTTGTTATCTTAACATAACAATCAAGCGAAGGGGCAATAAATGCCCTCACATTTAAATGTGACCTTTTGGGTCAATTTTAAAAACTAGTTTTGCTTCTTGCTATGGCTTATTTAGATTTTAATAGATTTAATACTTTAGAAATAATTTACATTGTTTTACTATCTTTTTCCTTTTTCATAAAAAGTATGAAATGTTTATATATGTTCATGGATTGGGGAAATGAATGGCTTTTACTTTCCAGCTGAACACATTTGGTTTGGGTTGCAAAAAGTGACAGTCTCTTAATTTACATTTTCTACACACTGAAACCTGCAACTTTCCTTTTGTCTTCTAACTGTTGGATCCAAAGAACCTGTTGTACCAGTTTGAATCTAGCTTTAGACATGCCCAGAGACACTGTTCATTATGATGTTTTTAGACATCAGGGCAGTGGTTCGCAATTTGCAAAACTTACACCCACCCAATTCTTTCTTTCTGCAGGTATGTCTGACTTGCTGCTCCAGGGATGTCATAGTTAAAGTTGACCAGATCTGTCACAAAAATAGCATCAAGTTTTTTACAGGAGATGTTTTTGGCTACCATGGATACACATTTGCCAATCTTGGAGAGCATGAATTTGTAGAGTAAGTTTTGGGAGAGGAAGGGAGAGCATAACATATTCAAAATGTATTTATTCACTGGTAGGAAATGAACCATTTAAAGCAAGTATTTTACTATAATACTTAGAACATTCAGAGAAACCGATTCATTAACAGTTTACTGAATACGTAGATTGTGTGTTGAGAATCGTAGGAGATGTGGCCCCTACCTTCCAAGATCGTCTAATCTGAAACATAAAGCAGAGTTCTTACGGCAGTCAAAGTACACCACGTGGGTATTTGACCAGTCTTGCCTCTAGGTGGTGAAGCCACGCTTTCTTTGTAGGGAAGGCTTGCTTGGATTGTAAAACATTTGTTCCTCAATCTGGGCTTGTGTGTTTCAGTTTGAGAGATAGTAAAATGAGTATGAGATAGTTTAGATGGGTAACACTGGAGTCGTGTTCAGCCACAGTCTACCTTGGAAAAGCTCCAAGGTCCAGAGACTGGAACAAACAGACCTTATTCTCTCATGTGGAACATTGAGGTTACAGACCTTGGTAATTCTTACATGATGGGACCTGCAGTGTTTTGAACTGGTAGCTTCTAGATGAAAGATGGCAGATGATGCCAGTAATGTAAAACTATATGAGTTGGGTTTTTTGGTTGTAATTTCTGACCACCCCCCTTGCTAATGAGAGGTAAAGAGATCTGGTATGATAGGTGAAGCTTCCTACCAAGAATCAAGAACTGCTTTCTTCTGTTCAGCTTCTCAGACAAGTCACTGAAATTTCTTGGGCCTTCAAGTTTCTTGCCTGTAAAATTGAGATGGGGGAAGGACAAGCATGTTCAAGAGCTCTCCTAACTCTGGCACTTTATGGCTTTCAGAAACAGTACTTCTTTGGGCTCATTATAACTGTGTAAAGAGGTCATAGCAAAGAAAAGTGGGCCAGATTATTTTACTGTGAACTCCCCATGGCAGAGAGGAGAAATTAAGTTTGGCTCTTTATGTCTTGAGTTAAGTGAAATGTACAAGGCGTATTGAGAATTTACTGTGCGCTAGATAGTGTGCCAAGCAGTTTATTTTTCATTTTATAACCCTGTTGGGATATTATTCCTACATCATAGGTAACTGATTTATCGGGTAATCAGTGGCTGAGCCGGGATTTGAACCCAAATCTGTCTGACTCCAAAGCTTTTGCTCTTAACTATCAGCCTCTTCTGTGAGCTAGTGAGGCTCTTTTGTTGTAATGGCATGATTCATGCGGTAGAACTCACTTCCCTCCCCTTGTCACTCTCTAGGGAGAAAACCAAAGTTGCCAAAGTTAGCCAAGGAGTAGAAGATGGGCCTGATACCAAGAAAGCAAAACTTGACTCATCCGAGACAACCATGGTCAAAAAGGTATGTGTGCTGTGGGGCGGGGCACAGGCAACTCCAATTGCAAGCTAGAGAAGCGAGCATGCAGTCCTGAAGGGAAGGGTCTGGACTGACAGGGCCAGTGCTTGTGCCATTAAAGGGGAGCGGCTGCTGCGTACTGCCAGCCAGCTGGTGCCATGCAAGAGTGTGGATCCAGTGATGACAAATGTGATTTTTCAAGAGACTCTGAAATGTTGACTTTTTTCTATGCTCTGTCCCACACTTTTTAAGATTAGCAGTTTACTCACGTTGATTTGAATTTTGTTTCCATCAACTGTGGCAGTCAGAGAGAATGTGCCTGTAGGACTTATTTGCTCTGTGGTCCACCAGTTTGGACCTCTGGTGTGTGGAGAAGTAAGTCCAGGAAAGACTGTTTTTTTGAGCTTTAGGCCACAACTCTAATACAAATTCTTTTTTTTCCAGATTGGTAGATAATTTAGTAAGGACCTGAGTTAGGGGAGAAACAATTTAAACTTGAAGCAACAAATAACCTAAGAAGAAAGGCCTCGATGTTGACACGTGTTACCCAGTGTGTGTTGTTTTTTTTAACATATTTTCTGTTAGGGATTTACTCTACTGGTATTGGTGCAGTTATTTAAATCTGTTTCAAAGAAAGAGGAGTCAGGAGGGACTCGTCGTAAGGTGGTTTCTTTAGCTAGTGTCGGAATTCGAGAAGGGAATCATGCAAGGGGGGAAACAAGGTGAAGGGGCCAGAACTGGTTTTGCTGAACTGAGGAAAGACACGACCAAGCCCATATTTACTCTTTGCTTTGTAGACTTAAATGTTGAGAAAGAAAAACATCTGGTCAGAGCATCGAGTTAGATTTGCTCTAAAGAGGGGATTCTAAGAGTGCAGAGACCACAAAGAGACTGCAGAAAACCACAAAAGTGGAACTCTTCGAGCTTCCAACGAAGCTGCGTTGGAGATTTTCTTTTCCTTGCTCTTTATGTTTGTACTGCAATAGTTTGATGCTGCAAGTGTGATACAGAGGAATTATTAAACCCTAATTTTAGTGTCTATTCACAGGACTGTAATTATCCAGAGTGAACATTGGTGTTTTGGCCAAAACTTGGGTCCTTTTCTTTCTTCCTTTTTCTTTTTGAGGCCCAGTCAAGCTTTATCTGAATAGCTCTGTGAGTTCGGTGGGGGGAGATAAACTGTTAACTAAGAGAGGAGTACAAAAGCAGCTTTGTGGGTGCTGTCAATTTATAAATCACACCCTCTTACAAGTGTGACACTTGGCCTTGGTGTGAAGGGTTTTATGGCTTAAGGGTCTTCCCTGATTGAGGCAGGTCTTTCACATTCAAATAGAGAGAGCCCTAGCTTTGTTAGCCCTCCACAGCTGGAAGTGTCCTGGGAGTCAATTCTGACGGTGCCCACGGGGGCGGATCTTGAAGCCTCTTTGGGAGCCACTTTTATGTAGCTATGAGGAGAATGTGGGCAGCCAGGGCAGGCACTCCGTGGCCTTTGCTTACCATTCCTAGGGCTCTTCCGTCTTAGAGCTCTTTGTGCAGCCTCTTCCGAGATGGGGCCAGATTTGAAGGTATCAAAATATTCCCCAGCTGACATTGTTAGTCAGCTGTTTCACTTGGACAATTCAGGCCCAGATTCCAACCTCCCAGCCCTTACGCTTGTGAGGCATTCAGGGCATTCCTGGTGACAATCCCTGGGATTCCAAACCTTGTCTTTGTGCTGCTTCGCCAAGGGCATTCCAGAAGGACTGGGCTGAACTGGGTTTGGGCTGTGGCTCTGCCCCTTTGTAATAACAGGTTGCCTCACCTCCATTGCAGTGGAGACAGCTCCGTGATTTCCAAGTTTTCTTCCAACTCAAAACCTCCTTGATTCAAATTCTGCCCTTTGGCCTTAATTGTACAGAATAACTGGATTATGCTCAGTGCAGGCTGGGGGTGGGGAAGCAACCACTTCCTGTTTCCTGTGAAAGGTTTCTGGCTAGGGTTCCCTTCCCCTCCCCCTTTCCCTTAGGTTCAACCAAACTGTGTAAAGTCCGTTGCTTCAAGGTCCACTTTGTACTCCTAAATTAGAAACGATAAAAAACAAAGAGGAAAAATGGAGCTTGTGGTTTTCACACCATCTAGGAAGAGATGGCCTTTCTAGCACATGTGCCATTGTGATAAATACTGCAGAGGAAGATGCATAGCTCAGAAGTAGGTGCTCTGTAGTTTACTTCCTTAGGTGTCCAGGAGAAGTCATGAGACAGATTTTATCAGAATCAGGTCTTTGGCACAAACTTGATAAAGGCACTAATGCACATTAGATCCAGGAAGGAGCAATGATTTTGTGGAGAGGAAGTGTCCAGAAAGGTTTCTCCGAAGAAAAGTTTAGTTAGAGTTGGCATGTGAAGGACAGTTTGCCAAACATTGATGCCAGGATCAGCAGTCAGTCACAGGAAATAGAATCAATGAAAAGCACAAATGTAAGGGTCACAATGAGTCTGGCTTCCCTCACTCCAAAACAACCATCTGTCTGTGAGCTGCAGAATGCCTACTGTGTGCGAGGCACTGTATTGGGTGCAGAGAAGCACGTGCATTCTTGTCTCCATCTACAGCTGATGGTGAAGCTGAGGAAAGGTAAATGGCCTGCCCCAGATCATACATCTGTGTAAGAAGGCATAGATGGGGGCAGTATAGACCCTGCCTAAGGGCACAGGCTTGCCTTGCGGCTTACAGGGTGAATCCCCTTGGAGTTTCTAGGATAATTTGAAGTTTTAAGAGGATGGTGGGATAAAATATGTGAAAATTGGGATCATTCCAATTTTACCTTTTACCTTGAAGGTAAAAGGCTACCATCACACTTCCATGTTGTTGTTCGTGTTTCTTCATAGTTAGAGGCTGCCAAACATGAGTAGGTGCTTGATGGCGATTACTCTCCATCAAGATAGTAGCTGTTTAAAAATAAACATAGAGCAGTATTTGTTCATGACATACTAAGAAATACAGATTTAATTTTACCTCTGCTTCTGAAATAGTAGGTGACTAATGTAGGCACTGTTAATACTCTTCATGAATCAGTTGTGAAATTCCACAGTTGAACAGTGATTCATTATTTTGATTCCCTCTTTCTGAGCAATTTGTTGACAACTCTGTCCTATCCTCCTCTCACCTCCAACCCTTAAAGAAACACTCCCTTTGCCTGACTGCTTTCATTCCTCCTCTTTGATGTGGCACCTTGATTCGTAATGCTGAGTGGCTGATTGCTGTTTGGATTGTCTGTCTCTTCCAGGAGAGTCTAAGCTCCAGCGGGGCAGGGCAGCCTGTTGACCGCTGTATTCCCGGTGCCCTGCGGGCCCAGGCCTACTAGGGCAGTGTTTGTCTAGTGCGGCTGTGGCTGTCTCACAGCCTAATGTGACACAGTGCTGGAGGAGATTATTGTCAATTTTTAGAAGTATATTTAATTAACTTTCTTTGTGATCAACTAAATGGATTAACCTTGTACATAGTTTAGGTAATTTGAACTGATCTGAGAGAACAGAATTCCAAAGAAGATGGGGACTTGGCCAGGAATATTTAGAAGTCAGTCATTGGGTTGCCTAGACCAGAACCTGCAGGCAGAGAGTTTTAAAGCCCTGATTGTCAGAATCGCGTGGTGGGCGTTTGGGGAGCAGAGAGATGCAGGGCGCAAACTGCAGAGTTTGGTGGGATGCCGACAGCAGGGCTTGTGGGTAGGACGGCCATGGAGTGTGGGGCGGGTGCTCGTGGTGCCTTACCTCACAGGGGAAGTTTCTGGGCTCCAGGGATGAGGGAAGGGGGTCCCTCCCAGCATCACAGTCCCATCCAGTCTATTGTCATACTTGCTTGATACTCAAAAATCATGCAACATCAGTGCAAGTTACGGAACATAACAATAAATACACACTAACCTGCAAACCAAAGCATTCCCAGTACTGTTGCACCAGCCTGTCTTCCTTCCCCGCCAGGGCTGCTGGTACGTTTGTGTGGGTTAGTAAGGCCCTCAGGAGGATGGAGCTAGCTCTGCTTGGCATGGTGTCTCACCACGTGTTTGTAAATCTAAACAATGGAATGAAACGTGAATTAAGTGTTGTTAGGTCTGAATTAAGAATGGTATCTCCAACTACCATGTACCTACCACCTGATTTAAAGCATAAAACATTACTGGTGTGGTCAGTCCCCTAGCTATTGCTTTCCAACATAAATAGCTACTGTCCTCAGTTGTGGTTCTCATTCCCACTGTGGGTAAAATTGTAATACTACCAGAATATCTCGCCTGGTTTTAGTACATCTGCATATCAATAGGCGTTCAGAGGTGGAAAGAACCATGGCTTTAGTGCATTTGCATCATTCCTCAGGGGTAGAGAGAAATTCATCTCCATATCAATGGGTAATTACCTGGGCTACTAAGGGCTTATCTGTACCTGAGAGGTGAGGGGGAGGGCCGGTTTTGGCTTCTGCTAGAGCCGGAAAAAGAGTAACGGCCCCAGACTGCAGTTTATAAGCAATAAGCGGATTTTAAACTTTATTTCTCCCTTTGACTGGTTTCGGTTTTTAGAGGTATTTTGCCATGGGATTTCCTTTTCCCGAACTTAACACCCACTCATTTCTCTCTATAATATGTATGTATTTCCAAGTAATGTGGAATTGTTTGGTGGGCTTTTTAACTTCAAAATTGGCTTCCTGTTGTATGTATACTGCCACCTGCTTTTTAAGAGCAGTGTTAATGTTTGCAAGGCCATCCGTTTGTATTTAGTTCGAGGGCTTCGCTGTCCATTATGGTAGCCACTAGTCACGTGGCTGGTTAGATTAAAATTAACTGAAATTAAAAATTCAGTTCTTTAGTCTCACCAGCTGCATTTCAAATGCTCAGTAACCACAGTGGCTGTTGGCATCCGTATTGCAAAACACAGATACAGGACACTTCTGTCATCACAGCAGGTTCTCCTGGACAGCGCTGCAGGACATCCTTTTTCTTTTAAGTTGTTAGGGTATTTGTTGTATGGATAACATTACTATTTACTTATCCATTCTGTTGATGGGCATTTAGATAAGTCCGTTTTGGCTGTTACACATTATGCTGTCAGTGTTGTGTGTGAGTGTAGATAATCTAGGATAAGTGCATGATTGGGAGGAAAATTGAGATATGTATGCCTTCAACTTTGCCAGACTCTGCTACATTACTCTCAGGTAGTTCTATTCATTTGCATTCCGAAACCAGCAGTATTTTAACAGTCATATCTGGTAACTTCACTTTTGCCACTCTGCTGAGTGAAACTGTCTCTCAGATTGGATTGTGGTTGTCCTTTGTGCTTTCAGAAACTATTGATTCCCCTGAGTAGGTGTGGAAATTAGTCCTAGAGATCTGTAGTTTTGAAAGTTGTTTCAATTCTTAGATTCAGCTTTATATCCAGAACTGTACTACTTGTTAGAGATAAGCTTGATTTAAAAAGTAAAATATGCCCACAGTCCCAAGTATGAAAAATACAGACCAAGTTGAGAAAGGGTGACCCCTGCTACACAATGATGACTGTCACGTCCCTTTGGTATCCTGTTATGTACGTGTATGATACAGTGGGAGTGCTGATCACTATGTGATGGTCCACATAAAACGCACGTAATGACCTCATATCTATGTACTGTCTTGTGCTTGTTTTGCTCAACATGTCTTCACAAGCACTTCCCAAATCTTCCAATCCACTTTGGAGAGCATGCGTTTAAATGGCTATAAAAGTTTTTTCCTCTCGTTGCCTTGCCGTAATTTATTGAACCAGGCTCCTGCTGCGTTGAGGGTTCTGTAGTTCCCACTATTCTAAATGGCTCCGCACAACCCCATAATTTGGTGGCTGATAGACTGTGTGGAGAATTCATCTTTTATATTTACTGTTGGGCTTTTTGGCAAATGAAAAGCAAGTTGGATACTCAGCTTACGGTGACTTATTGAAAATCTAGTCTCTTCAGTGCTGTGCCTTTCACCGTGGCCCCTGCCTCCGGAAGCTGACACCATTTGAGGAGAGATCAGTTAACAGTGTAAGAGGGCTTGTTATTTGTCCTGACTAGACTGTCAGATTGAAATTCTCAAGGCCCAGAATTGTCAGGGAAGAAATGGATAATGGAGAGGCCTGGGTCAGGCATCTAGACAGAGGGATCGGGAGCCAGGGGCACGGAGCAGTGAGGGAAGGGTGAAAGTTGCCTGTTTTAGTGTATTTTCAGGGGGGTGTGGGGTGGGTGCTGCCCCCAGCTGGCTTCGTACTGAGTGCTTACCTGAAAAGCCCTTCATTCTCTGTTGAGCATGGTTTTCTCTTGGTAAACCTAATGCTGGTGAGGTGAGTTAGGCAAATACCACCTTTTGCATCTGTCCCAGTACAGATTAGGTGACTTGGTTTTGTTTTATTTTTAATTGTTATGAGCAACCATTGTAGACTTTGTATAGTTTGAACAAAGAAAGGGATGTTAACTGGCGGCGGAGGTGGGCTGGAGGAGCACATGAAGCATTGAATGTCCACTGTGATCTGAGAAGGGCAAAGACTGGGGCAGCTGGGGACCTCAGAAGCAGTAGAAATTTACCTTTTATCTAAAGAGCCCTGCCATTAATGTGTCTACATTTTCAGCTTTCAAATTCTCAATTCCCAGGAGAAAGAATCTGATTGGTCTGGCTGGGTCCATGTGCCCACCTCTGGCTCTGTCACCTGTAGCTGGAGGGGGGCTACTACACATTACAAAGTCACTGGGGGCCTCCTCCCCAGATACCAGGGAACGTCCCTAAAAGTTGCAAGCCACAGACAAGCCCAAGAGAGGTAAATTCATTTGCCTAAGGTCACAAGTTACTGGCAGAACTGGGAATAGTTTTGCCCTTAGACTTGGGAAGGAAAAAGGGCTTTAGTGCTCAAGAAGGTCCTGCTCTCACCTTCTTCCAGCCATTCTCCTTAAAGGGTGAGGATTCTGTGGGATCGAGGAGATGTGTCCACCTGAAGCCCATAGCCTTCCCCTTCCCCTAGTTCTAGACCACTTTGTGGGTACCTGGGACCCCCAGAATCTCCTTTTTGGACAACCCCAGGCTGGCTTTCCAGGCTTTCGTGGCTTCTTCCCTGATCTGCCTCGAGTGCAGACCTTGCCACAGTTTCTGCATGCCTCATCCTGAAGACCGAATGCTTTGGTGAGGAAGGACAGGCTGTATGGCTGCACTCCAGTGCAAGGCCTCTTGCACTGTGGGACAGAGCCAGAGGTGGGAAGAGATGACGAGGGGATGAGGCCAGCTTTCCCAGTGCACCTCATTCTGGAGTGTGAGAATTCCAAGTATGAAGCTGGTCTTTGAGCGGTTATGGAGAAGGTATATTTGTCAAGGCAGGAGAATAAACTACTTTATTTAATAGTTTGTTAGTGTGATTTATAACTAAATATGGAGACGTGATATATGGCTTTTTATTTGTTCTCTTGCCCCAGGACCTGAAAATGTTAGGGTCAGGCCTGGCTGAGAATCTAAAACACAATGCTTTTTTTCCTACTCCATCATATAGTAGCCTAATGAATCAGTGGATTCTTAGCATTGCTTTTAGCCAGGCAAACTACAAACATTCTTAATTAAAATCATAGTTGTTTTTGAGACAGTAAGCACTTCGTTTCCTCATTGTGTTGGCCTTCCCAGACCATATTGCTGATGTTTTGATCTGTGTTGTAAGGCTTCTTAAGAAGGGTCTGGCAGTCTGTATCAGGCACCAAGTGTCACTGGGTTGACTACATGACTGCCTTTGCAGGTCACACAGAACCCCTGACCAAAGGTTTGAGGGCAGTAGGCACTTCTTGTATACTAGCTTTTACAGTGGATCCAAACTCCAAAGAAGTGATGATGGGGAGGCAGAAAGCCACCATAAAAGCCATGACTGTTTCATCCCCACTGACAATTTGAACTTCCATCTGTCAAATCTCTTTTGGTCATTAGCAAGCTGTAAACTGCCTGATAGCTGATATTGATTCTTTGTTTTCATCATTTCTCTTAAATATCTGGGTGTGTGTTTGTTGGTGTGTATGTTTGTGTAACGTGTGTGCACGCGCATGCCTACATGGAGAGGAAGACAGACACATAGCTCTGCAGATTTGATGTGATTCTTTTCACTCATACACAGACTTCTTGAACTTAGTGAAGGTAGCTAGTACCGAGAACCATTTTTTTCTGAACCAATTGAGAGTTAAGGTGCCAACATGGTACCCTCTCCCATCACACCCAAATATTTCAGTCTGTATTTCAAACAAAGCATTCCCCATAATCACACTCCAGCCATCAAAATCAGGAAATTCAAGTGTATGCCTCCCTGCCAGCTAATCCTCAGACCCCATTCAGCTTTTCCCAGTTGTTCAATCATGTCCTTAGTGGCAACAGGATCCAGTTCAGGATGTGCGTGCATCTCAGTTCTCAGGACACTTTTAAAGATTATATGCCAGTTTGTAAAATATCCCTTAATTTGAGTTTGCTCATGATTAAATTCCAGCTACACGTCTCTGGCAAAAACACCACGGCACGGGTGCCTCCCATCTCAGCCTGTGGTCTGGTGCACGGTTTCCATACACCCCTTCACTGGGAATGTTAGCTTTGGTCAGTTGAGTACAGGTATATCTGCCAGACTTCTCCCTTGAAAACAACTCTGCTTTTCACCGTGTGATTAGTTCTCTGTGCGATTTGGTGGAGAGGTATTTTGAAAATGTGTAAATATCCTATTCCTCCTCAAACTTTATTACTTAGTTAATTTTAGGTCTATGACTAATGGATTCTAGTGTATTTGAAGGGTTGTAATCTCCTATTTTTATCCTCAAATTGTTCCAGAGGTAACCAGTGGGAACTTCTTTAAGGTGGCTCCGGTTTCCTCCTCCCATGTCCCGTCATCCTTGGAGCGCTCCCGTGTCTGACGGGTGAGATGTTTCAGGCCGCTCTCACACTCTCCCTGCCCGAGCTTTGAAACCAGCCATTTCTCTTTGTGGGAGTGGTGAATAGAAACCAGGATTTGGGTGTTAGGTGTGCTCATTGCTACCAGAGTTTCACTGTTTTTACACCTTCTTGGCAAATGTAGCTAGTTAATATTTGTATGTGCATATGTGCGCCCCCCCCCACATACTCACGTGTCTGCATTGATTTCCTTCTCTGTATATGTTGAAAATGAGTTCATGCCAGTAATCCTCACTACAGGCTTTATTCTACTTCTCTCCCTCTCTGTATTTCTAATTCTCTCCTCTGACAGTGAGAAACCTGGCTCCCCAGATTCTTAGTATATTTATTTGTTGCATCAAGTTGGATGTACTGTTGCTGCTCCCTTAGGGATGCTCTTACCTGCTCTGTCCCTTCCAGCCAGGTCACCTCTACACACACTCTTCCTTGCCCTTCTTCATCCCAACAAAGGGCTTTTGGACCAAATTGTTAAGGAAAGGGAAAGGAAAACCACTTACTCATAATTGTTTGTTCAAGATAATTTCATTAGCTGTAGTTCCTCCTGCCACAGGGCTTTTGCAGATGCTATTTCCGTTTCCTTACTCTAGAGCTTTCATTCCATCCCCTTGCTAGTTTTTCTTGCTTTATTTACTAGTATTGTCTTCCATTGTCATCTGAAGCATCCCTCTACTGAGAAACGTTTAATTTGTGTTTTGTTTACTGTTACAAAGAATGTTTTATTGAATCTAAGGTTTTGGGCACATTCTTGCGCAGCTGTACCGGTATTTCTGCGGTATAAATAAGGCCGAGCTAACGAGTGAGCCAGAGGGGAACTCTGCGTTTGCCTTTGCTCCGTGCAGGGAATGGGAGCCGCTTGCTGCTGCGCGCCCTGTGCCCAGAGGAGAGAGCGCTTGGTCAGTGCTTGCTGGGTTCTTGGGCTTTGGCTTCTTCTGGTGAGCAATAAACCTTAGCCAGTGACCTCCCTCCACGGGCTCAAGAGCTACTACCTCACGAGGTCAGGCCAACATACGGCAATCCCTGAGCAGCTTTGCCTTTTTCCAACAGAAGGAGGTCTTCTGCCCTGTTAAGGATGCGCTGGAGGTGGACTGGAGCGGGAACAAGGCAGAGGCAGCTCTGAAGCGCACAACGTCCGATTACTTCCTCCTCCAAGGTGGGTGCTTGTGCCGATTTCTGCAGAAGGGCTGCCCATGCCTGAGGGCCTCTGGATGTTGCCCTGGGTCGCCTTCCGCATTAGCTGGTTCTCAGTGGCCTCTCAGAATGTGCGAGTGAATGGAGGTGAGGTCCCTCACTGAGCTCTAATGACCTGCCCGTGACAGTTGAGCCTGAGATAAGTGTCATAAATCACACAACTTTTCATCACTACTTTTTCCTCTTCAGAGTTCTTCCTTGGCCTCAAAGCCAGCCTTTCTCTCCTGAAAGGTTTTTTTTGCCCTCTTACTGTCCTCGCCAGTGCTCAAGGGGTCATTTATCTAAGTATTGGTGGGCCTCTGTTCCTCTGCCTGGCATTTCAAATTTTTTAAATATTATTTAAAAAATAACAGTCAGAAACACTGAGTGCTTAGTACACACCCAGCTTTTTTTCCCACATCACGTTCCTGGAGCCCTCTATGTGCACAGGATACAAAGTCCTGCAGTCACCTGCCTCAGGCCGCATGTGTCCACTCCGAGCTGAGAGAGTTACTGTCTCTGCAGAACCATAACCCATTCGCAGGGAGGCTTTGAGGTAGAGAGGTGTAGCTTTTATTTATAAAACTTGCTGAGCATTTTCTGGTTGCAGTAGGACAGTCTTCAGCCTTCCTTTCCCCTGGTCTGGGTTGAGAGCTGCATTTCCACCGTTCTTCCTTCCCTCTGTCTGTGCAGACTCCAGGAACCCCCCCCCACTCCCCCAAGTCAGGAAAGAGGGTGGCTATGTGCAATAGTTTAAAAAACTTCCTCCCTCCCCCCAAGCACTGTATTTATTGATTTCAAAGAGAAATACGTAAACTGTATAAAAGTTCCTTAACAAGTTAGTAAGAGGATCAGATGAGACTAAACTTTTCCTTTTTGTTCTCTGTGAGTAAAGCTTCCCCATGCTAATTAGTGCTGTTAACCAGATTGGGGACCGGGAGAGGTGGGGATGAGCTATTTTAGAGCTTTAAATACCCATTTGTGTAGAAATGAATGGATCAAGTAGACGTGAGTCTTGTCGATGTGAGGATGATAAGACTTAGAAAATGCTTTCTTTTAAGGACTGTGAGAGTGCCAACTGGAGGCAGAGCAGTGCCCTCTCCAGTCCAGGGCACAGGGCTTGGGCCACTGGGAGAAGCTATTGGCACACAGAAACCATCAGTAAACAGTAGCCGTTGATTTGCAAAGATTTTGGATATAGCCTGAGCATTTCTAACTGCTGCTTATAAAAGGGGTCAGCTGGTATTTGAGTTTACCATAATCCATGATTGATTCTCAACCATGGGTGATTTTGCCTGCCAAGGGACATTTGCAGTGTCTGGAGACATTTTTGGTTGTTACAGCAGGCGGGTAGGGCAGGGAGACGTGCTACTGGCATGTAGTGGGGCGCGGGCAGTAGTTTAGCTAAATGTCCCTGGCAGGATAGCTGCCCACAATAACTTGGCCCATGCTGTCAATAGGTCCAAGGTTGAGAAACCTTGATCTAACCCTTCGTAGTTTCCAGAGGATTTTCTCCATCCAATCATCAGAGTGCTGTCCCCATTTGGTTTCTTGACATAAGGAAACAGATCCAGAGAGGCTCTGTTTTTACCTATGAGGACGCAGATAGTCGATGGCCAAGGAAGCAGGACCCGAACAGCTCAGGTCTGTGAAGTGCGATTCATTGAATACTGTGTGAGATACCAGCTGGTAATAGCATCCCTGCTCCATTTGAGGTGCTCTGTGGGTATGAGCTCATTGGATCCTCACCACATGCATATGAAGCTGTACCCCCATTTATATGTTTTAAAAGACACAGACTGGTGAAGGCGCAGGCCTATGTCATCCCTGCCCTCAGGAGCCCATCGAGAAGGAGAGGCAAAGCTAACACCTGGAAAGTGTGGGCAGAGTGTGTGTTTAATCCAGGTGCTGCTGACCATCACCACCAGAGGTTACAAGAGGCTGAGGGAGTGGACAGGTCATGAGGAAGCAGCAGCAGCCTTTGTGTTACACCCTGTATGGCAGGCCGTGTTGCATGGTTATTCAGAATGGGAGCTTTGGCATCAAAACAGACCTGGCTGTCAGTCCTGGCTCTGTTTATTTTCTTGCTGGGTGACATTGAGCCACCAACTTAAATTCCCTGAGGCTCCCTTAGATTCCCCTTTGACCATGAGGTTGTTAACAGCCCTTGCCTGAGAGGGCTTTGTTGAGGCTTGGATGGTATACATTTTATTAGCACAGAGCAAGTTCTAGAGTCTGTGTTACCCATGAAGTAGTGGGCCTTTTAAGGGGATGGGAGCATGGGTACTTTGCAGCTGTGTAGTAGAAGTTTTGGGGTTGACTCAGTTTCCTTTAATTCCAGATTTCAGTAAGTATTATCTTAGCAATCCTGTCAGGTTTTAACTTTGTGCTGGTGACACTTTGTTGGATAATGTATCCTATATGTTTACTTCTCCCTTCTAAGTGGCACTAGTTATCTTTTCACTTTCAAGTTCCAGGGCGTTGGATTTGGTGATTAGAACTATGTTCATTAGTTAATAGTCATAGAATTTTTTTATTATGATTAAAAGTATGCACCATAAAACTTACCATCTTAACCGTTTTTGCATATACATTTCTATAGTACTCATGGCACTTTAGAAGAGGCTAAGCCAAGGATGGCAGATAAGGGGTTCCCACCCTTCCCTCCACCCCTCCCCTTGTCAGGCATGCCTGTAAGAACCCTCGTCATTGGTCGACATGTCTAAACCATCAGGCCACTTTTCCTCTAGCTTCGAAATCTTTTAAACAGCACTACCTGCATTCACTCTTTGACTTGAATGCAAAATGAACCTACTTCTCAACCTAATTAGAATAACTATAAAGATAAGCACATGGCCTAGAAGGGAAGTGACTCGCCATGGTCATACAAGTTAGTGGTAGTCTTGGGTCTCGAACCCAAGTCTCCTGACTCTTCCAGTGTCTAGTTCTTTTGCACCACACCCAGTGCTCTTCCTGACCTTTTTTTGATCTCAACTGTTAACTTCCCTGGGCTTTTCTCTTTGCAGCAGATGACAAGTTCCTAACCTTTGTCATGTGTTGTCATATGCACATTCTTGATGTCCCCGTCCATCCATCCCATCCTGGGATGCCCCCTTTCCCCCCTCCCGGTTCTTCTAAGCTCTGCTCTTCTTTCCAGAGGTGCCGTAACTGGAACTACATGAAGTTCCAGATGCAGAGAGCAGGAGGGCCCAGTGTGGTTCTGGTGTGCGTGCTTGACTGACTCCCTCAGCTGTCTGCTGGACTGTGGTTGGAAAGAGAAGGAAATGGCTCTTCGGATCTCTTTCCCCGGTTACTGCCAGCATGCTTGGGACCTGCAGCTTTTAAGTGTAATCACCTTATTCTTATAGTCAGGAAAATCTTTCAGTTTTCTTCTCGGCCATTCATATAGTTGTGAGTCTCCTGTAATTTGACCTCACTGGATTTATCCAGGAGAGCAAAGCACCCTCCACATGTGAAGTTGCCTTTTGCCAGACATACTTGCCATCAGCTGTCTTTGTGACTTTGGACAAATAGGTCAGCTTGCCTCGCTAGGGTTTTGTTTCCTCACCTGAAAAATGATAGGACTAAGTTAGCCTTTTCTAAAATCTTTTCTCATTCTAAATAGTCAATGAATCTAATAAAAAAGTTCCTTATGTCCTATGTTTCTGTATTTTTTATGTTTATACTTCTAGCAACTTCACTGAGGTATGATTTATACCAGAAAATTTACCCATTTTAAGTGTATTTCTTTTAAAAATTTCTAGAAATTATTAATTCAAATAAAATATCCTCCTAAGTTAGTCCTAAGGTTTAATTGGTTAGAACCATATTTTTGCTCAATCTGTTTGATGATCAGCCATGGCAGTAAAAGTGAGTCAAGTGGAGTAGTGGGCAGTCTCGTGTAATGCACAGAACACAGGCTTAGGAGTCCAGCAGAGCTGAGTTCAGGTCCCAGTTCCCCCTTTGTCTCAGCTGGGCCAACCTTTGGTGTGTGAACTTCAGATCTGGGTTCCTGACTGGGGTTAAGGGGTCCAGGGGACACCACCACCTCCCCTCAGCTCTGAGAAAGGGAGTGGGATGGTCAGCGTAAGGGCTCTCAGTGCCAGCGTCCAGCTCTGCACCATTTAATCTGCCTCTTTGGCTCTGCAGAACATTTTCTAATCATATGTTGAGGAGGACCAGGCAGGGTTTTTGTTGTTGTTTTATTTTTTTAGTCTAGGTTAGTATACCTAAAATTGATATAATTAAAAAGTGACCTTGGTTTTGCTCTTACAAAGTCAGACACTGGTAACATTCTGACTTTGGGTTGTGGGATGGCCTTGGGGAATATCCAGGTTGAGTGGTCAACTTTTCAGGCAGCACTGTTGTTTTTGGGTTGTGGCACATAAGAATGGTTATTGTATATTGAACCCTACTTACTTCCTTACCTGGCACTGTGTTAAGCATCTGACATGTTCTCTTATATTGTGACAACCTTTGAAGTATAGTTGTTATGCCACTTTCCTTTGGGTAGACTGAGGTAGTTTTGCTGTGACTTGCTCAAAGTCATATGCTTGGTTTTATAGACAGAGCCAGAGCCAGGATTTAGACCATGAGGTCTGTCTGACCCATTGACTCTGCTCTTCACCTCTAAGCTATGTAATTATGTTAAATTTTAAATTAGGAGCTCTGCATGTTAGGGAAACAGGATCGCGGCTACACTACAGGGACCCTGGTTCAAATATGTATTATCTGTAACAGAGTAACAAAAATGGTCTGAATTCTGACCTGAGCAGTCCTCCTGTCCCCCATCTAACAAACAATGAATTTTATTTTTATTAGAAAAGTGTCACAGTAAACAATTCACAGAGATGTGAAAAATAATTTTTCTTCATTAAGCCCTTCCCACTTCCCTCTCTTCTAGGATTCAGGTACAACTGCTGTTAAGAACTCCTTATGTATCTTCTTGAAAAATGATTATTGTAATTATGCATATATATTTGT